CTCAAGCCCGTGCATTGATGCATAAGATTCATAAGGCTGAATACTGTCGTTGCCAAGAGAAGTCCTCAACTCAGTGGCATATAAAAGTATGTGTTCGGGCCGACGAAGGCCGACCTCATTAGCTAGCTAATAATAATGTCCTGCTAAACGATGTTCCTACGAACTGTCTTGTGAAGGAACCCAGCGGTACCCCTACAACCCAAAGATAGATAGTGCCCATATATCATGGGAGTTTCTACTCAGTTGCTGTGTAGGCAACTTGTAACTTTTTGGGCATTTTGGGCCGACGAGGCCCCGAATCCTGAGACCCAGGCGAAGCTGCGGCGCCCGCTGGCGATGCGCCTGCTGGCTGGCGAGGGCTGCAGACGCGACGAGGCAAGCCCTGGGAGAAGGATCCCCTTTCCTTTTCATGACAGATGAACCGTTGAAGCATCCCCAAAGTAGTCCAAAGCGTTTTTTTTTTTAAATTGCTGGGTTCAGGTTAAGGCTGTGGGTCCACACCTCCCTAAACCCTGCATCCCAGAACCCTTGAAACCGTAGCCGATTCCCTCCGACCCCAGAACAGAACGACAACAGATAAGAACAACCCAAATGCTGGTGGGCCTGAAGTCTCCATGGCAACAAGGGGATACTGCAATGCGTGTTATGTTGTCCAGCCAGTCGGGGCTCGGCTTATTCGGTGCATGGGCGTGTGCGTGTGGGACATTGCCTTGATTTCGGGTCCCGTGCCTGTAAGGAACTCCAGTTGAGCATAATTACTCTCCGGCTTGCTTCCCCTGTGAAGTGCCTCCTTGAGGGTTCATAGACGGAGCGGCGTGGGTCTGAGAAGTTGGCTGTCTGGTCCTTTAAGCGTTCGTCTTCGGGCCGCAGCAAAGCTGAATTCCGTCAGCTTAAGACCCTAAACCCTAAACCCGAAACCCTAAACCCTGAACCCTAAACCCTGAACCCTAAACCCTAAACCCTAAACCCTAAACCCTAAACCCTGAACCCTAACCCTAAACCCTGAACCATAAACCCTAAACCCTAAACCCTAAAGCCTAAACCCTAAGCCCTAAACCCTGAACCCTAGAACCCTAGAACGAACCCTAGAACCCTAGAACCCTAGAACCCTAGAACCCTGGAACCCTAGAACCCTAGAACCCTAAAAACTTAGAACCCTAGAACCCTAGAACCCTAGAACCCTAGAACCCTGGAACCCTAGAACCCTAGAACCCTAGAACCCTAGAACCCTAGAACCCTAGAGCCCTAGAACCCTAGAACCCTAGAACCCTAGAACCCTAGAACCCTAGAACCCTAGAACCCTAGAACCCGAGAACCCTAGAACCCTAGAACCCTAGAACCCTAGAACCCTAGAACCCTAGAACCCTATAATTAACCCTAAACCCTAAACCGTAAACCCTGAACCCTGAACCCCTCAACTGATGTTTTCTTCTCAGGAGGCCGCGCTCCTCTGGCTCGGCGTGGTCTTGGCGAAAGGCAGGTTTCGGTTCGCGGGTTTTGGGTGCTTAGCCAGTCAAAACTGTGTTTGGGGGGGTTTAAGTCAACAACTTTTCTGTTTCCGGAGGGAGCCTATTCAGGCTGTGCATTCAAAAACGCATCGGACGATAAAGAAGCACAGCTCAATGACGAGTCCAGGCCTTTGAAAGTCGGATTTTGGGGTCTCGTTTACCTGCTCCGGGGCGAAGCCCCAGGCCCAAACTTTGGATTGTGCACTCCGAGCCCGGTCTCTCCCAGAATCGGTCAAACTCAGTTGAGCTGTGCTTGAGCATTCTCCTAAACCCCAAGCCTCAAACCCTTTTTGGAAGACCCCAGCCCGAGCCAAAAGACTTTCGTCTCTAAACCCCAAACCCCAAATCCTAAACCCCAAACCCTAAACCCTTAACCCCAAATCCCAAACCTTCAACCCCAAACCCCGAACCCCCAACCCGAAACCCCAAACCCGAAACCCCAAACCCTAAACCCCAAACCCTAAACCCTAAGCCCTAAGCCCTAAACCTTTAACCCTAAACCCTAAACCCTAAACCCTAGACCCACTGAACCTGGCCACCTCTCGCAGGCCTGCCTCCGCCGAGGTGCGAAGAGGTGGACCACCGTCATCTTGGTAGTAGGGTTTAGGGTTTAGGGTTGAGGGCTTGGGGCTTACAGGCCTCCTGCCACGGGGTTGCCTAGGGCTCCGCAAAGCGTAGGGACTACGGTCAAAGACCAAAACCTATTGACATTCCGGTTTTTGCAGGAGTACTGCGGGGAATTAGTTGACGAGTTGACGAATCAGTTCAGTCGCATGTGCGTAGTATTGCCATGCCGCCCTGAGTGAACTCCCGCTCCCAGGACCCCTCCCAGACAGAGGTAGCCAATACCCCCACAAATGCCAATCGCTCGACGCTGAGCACCTAGGCGGCGACGCACAGTCCCTTAAGCTCCGAACTGGGACCAGTGCCTTCAAGTCGAAGCCCCCTCCCCGTCGCCCTGACATCAGACCAGCTCCTGCCAGAAAGAAGGCGGCCGTCGAAGCGTCGTGGCAGCAGGGGTTACGGGTTAGTTTCTTGTCTTAGCATTGCCTTTCAGCCTCGGCAGTTACAGGCCCCAAGACTCCATGAATTTGTTTGGGCGATTCTTTTCGCGCGGCTGTTGCCGTTGCTCCCGGTTCTGGCGCACTGCATTCGCATTCAGACTTTGCGCATTTTTCGGACACGGAGATGCAAGCGGTGCCCTCCTAACTTAGGCAGCACTGCATGACTTCTATGCAAGTGGTGCCTTTCTGAACTTAGGCAGCGTCGCATGACTTCTGGGTGACTTTGCTGGGCCTGTGAGTGGAGGAAAACAGGGCCAAATTGTGCTGCCTGTGCAGCACCTTCCATGTTGATATCTGAAACTGCATGTTGACGTGGAATGCGCGCATTACGCATAGAACTTGCCCGGAATTGGGTCAAGATTTCTAGTCAGCGATTGCCGAAGGGATGAGGTCCCCTACACCCTAAACCCTGAAAACCCTGTAAACCCTAAACCTTGACCCCCCCCCCCCTACTGTAAGGGGTTTCCAAGCCGAAAGCGTCGAAGTCCGACGAAACCTTCACACCCAAATGAGCTATGGCCGAAGCTACTTTTCCAAGCCGCAAGAATCTTGAATACGGTGTCCCGATTTCAAAAGGCTTAAAGTTCGGGTTTAGGGTTACGGATGAATATCGAGCGCTTGGCAGCGCGTCTCGTGTTTTCAATCCTTGTAGCCGTGATGGGGTTTGGGTTTGAGGGGACGTGCGGGCAACTCTATCTGGTTTTCTATCGTGTAACACTCAAGCTGCCAGCGCACTGTTGCGGGTTCTGAACGTGTGCAGCCGCGCCCAGGGTGTAGCCCAAAATCCAGAAGCTCCTCCCAAAGCCAATGCTTTCTGACGCGGCCCTGGGGGCGTTAATGCTCAGGACTTGACTGCTTTAGCCTTAGCAGCAAATGCTGACAAGTTTCAATCCACTCGATTTGCTTCAACCACAAGACAAGGCGCCAGTGCACGTCCGACCATGCCGGAGCAATCAGTACAACCCTCTTTTCTTTCGAGCATAGCCAGATGAATTGCACGGGCACAGCGGCGACACATGGTGACGCCGGACAAGCATGCAGGCGAGGATTGTTTACCATTGAGAAGGTTATGGTTTTTTCTGGTCGCGTGTTTCGTGTGCCTGCAAAGTACTTGGTGATGTTTCAGGTTGGTCCACTTTTCGTACGCAGCCATTGAATTGCCTTACAGACTGGAGTACGGCGTTTTGGTACCTAATTCCGTAATATTCCGTAATCATCCCGTAGCTTGACAACTTGACAACGACGGACATCGTCCCGCAATGCCTAAAGCGAAACGTGTCCCCATCATAGACCAGGCCCCCTTTGACCTGAATTCGAAACCCAAAGCCCGGAACGATACACCACATGCTTGCATCTAGTGGGTTTATGGTGATGTTGGGTAGTGGGCTAGCTTTGCTGCTTTGCATCTAGGTTCACAGTTTTTATTTATCTAGTTCGCTGCTTTCCTTGAACGCTTTGCCTCTGGCTGGGGATTGAGGGTAAGATCACAGGTATCGTGAGCCCAGTTAGCGTATATTTGGTGGTGCACCTAGATGGGAAAGATTGTTTCGGCAATGTCTTAATGAACTTCACCTAACCGATGCGTCCCAAGAGGTTTCGCTACACCCCGCATGTCCACTGAGGTTTCGGGTGGGGGTTCAGGCACTCGTAGCCATAAACCCCAAACTTCTCAAACCCTGAGGTCTGTGTGCCCCCCCTGAAGTCCAGCATCTCGAGCCTCATTTCCACCTTTACACCGTATAGGATGTTTCCCTTTTACTAACAGTTCTTAATAGGGATTGTAGTGCCCCCTACAATAATCCCTATTAAGGACGTTTAGTATAAGGGGGAACATCCCAACACTCAGGGACACTTCCTTGCGGGGTTTTGCAACCGGGCAGAGAGTCAGCATGGAATCCTTGGCTTAGAGGCCCGGTATCCTTGTTCCACGTCTTGGGTTCTGGGTTCCTTTACGATGACAACCGTCAGAATATGTAGGGGTATTCTAATTTTATAGCGTTGTGGTTGCAGGGCTCGCTAGGGCTTTCAGGTAGCCACCGAGTCCCCACATCCCTAGAGCCCTGAACCGTTGAACCCTAAACCCGAAGCCTCGGTGCCTCACAGGAACCTGGACAACGACCGCCACGCTCAGCGCAACACCGCGACGCTGCCGAAGGAGATGGGGTTTCGGGGGAGAAGGTTTTGCGGCTTACATACCCCGAAGCCCGAAACCTTGAACACTAAACCCTAAACCCAAACCTCAGAGGTTTAGGAAATGACAAAGATCCAGTTGCGCGGACAGAACCCTTAGATTAGTATGTGCTTGTTGATTGTTTGGCCAGTTTGCTGCTTTACGTGATGCGCCGCGCCTCTGGCCCAGCTGCACCATCGGCGATCTGCCAATCCGCGTTTTTTTGCCCAATCCTCGCCTCTATCTCCATCGGGAGTCATGGCACTTCGACTTGTTCGTTTTCTGGCCCTGATCGGCATCACCGTGGCTTTCCGTGCTGAAGATCGCGCACAAACGGTCCTCGCCGCCAACTCGACGGCGAACCAGAGCCACCAGATCCTGCCCATCGCAGAGCCAATCGATCCGAGTGCGGGGCTGAACGTCCTCACGCATTACATCCAGTCCGGCGAGTGCCCCAAGGGAATTCCCAACGGGAAGTTCGATGTCGGCATGTTCAAGGTAGACATGGAGGGCCGTGAGCTCAGAGCAGATGAGCAGATAGCAGCTAGTTTAGGTTAGGGCCTTCATGCTCGGGGCAGTTTGGCATGCGCTTGCAAAACACTGAGGATATGACTATGGCATGGGTTGCAACTCTCAGGGACTGTGCACTTGCCCTCATTCGCCCTTCTTCGTGTGTGCCACTTCCGGACGACTCGGCGGCCCAGAAGGTCTGACCAAGAGCATCGTTGGGGCTTTTGGCTACTGTCGCGTGGCGGCATGGGTCTGGGCCGCTGGGGCAGGTGTGTCCGTCATTCTGGTGGGCGGCGTGGTGATGATCATGAAGAAGTGAGCTGCCGCAGGGCCGCGACGTAGCGGGCTGCAGCGCCCAGCCCGACATTCTGCGCAGAGGGCAAGTACCCTGAGCTCGCCCCGCGCTTGAAAAGCAAGGCATGCCGGCATGCTTCGAGGCTAAGGCAGTGTTTGTTACCTCGGACGACAAACTTGCACTACCAACAAGCAGCCCGAACCTTGAACCTGAAGCCGCATGAGGTGAGAAGAAGAAGAAGCTGTAGATAGCACCAGGCACCATGTTGTGATCTGAAGAAAAGCCCAGGTCCCAGAACTCAAACAAGGGGAACCCTGAGCCCTAAATCCTAAACCCTAAACCCTAAACCCTAAACTCTAAACCCTAAACCCTAAACCCTAAACCCTAAACCCTAAACCCTAAACGGCGGAGGCGCAGAGCCCGTGGACATCCGCGGGGACTTGCGCGGCGGCTGCGATGCCAAGCTGAGGGAAAAACACTTTGCTCAGGCGGCGTAGGGTTTTGGGTTGAGGGGTGTAGGGTTTATAGGATTTAGGATGAAGGGTTTAGGGTTTAGGGTTGAGGGTTTAGGGTTTAGGGTTTCAAGGTCCCGCAGGAACTGGCTTCGTATTCTGCAACTTGAAGGCTGGAAGGAAAATCCAAACCGCAAACCGGCTTGGTTGTTGGAGTTTTTGGCCTTGTGTACTGCAGGAGTCCTGGACCAGGCGCAAGGTGTATGTGTACGTTCTTGTCTCTGGTTTGCGTTAGCGAACCCGTGACACCCTTTTGACCCGAATGCACTGGGGCCTGGGAAGACGTTTGGGTTCTGACGCGTTGTGCTGTCTTGCCTCATGAGGCCATCCAACAGCATGATGGTCACGTCTTGTATTGCGTCGAGCAGCATCGGACAAGAGACGAAGATCTTGTAAGGACTCCTCGGAAAAGTCCCAGAGAGAAGACTCAGAATCTTACCAGCACAATGTTTGAGGCACTCTGACCAAGGGAAGATGCTTGCGCTTGCGCTTCGGCCCTTGAGCAGTAGGCAGGCAGGACAGTTTTGGCAAGCTTTAAGAATAGCAGCAATCACAACTGACATGCAGCAAGAAGTAGCTCGTGCAGCGAGACTCGCTTCGACTGCAGCTGCCATCATGGCCATGACGTGCAGCTGGCTTGTGTTGGGCTGCGACTTTGAACCTTTGCCTCTCCGGTGAGGGGGGGTGGAGGACGGTATCCCTGTAGAGTCCCCCGTGCCCCTTTTTTCTAAGCACCACGGTAAGTTGCAGGCAGGTGTCTCCGGGCCTATGGACATCCGAAGACATCAGGGGCGGAACGCCTGGGCCCTACACACCTCACGGGGAACCCCACAGTGCTGATGAGACTGGAAGCCCCGTTCAGGCAAACAGAGCAGATAAAAGCCATTAACAGGCACATAACAGAGACTTGACGCTAGGTTCACTAGGTGTGCAACAGCCCTTCCACTGAGGAACGTGCACATCGACGTGAGGCCGGGGTGCAGGGTTCGATTTGACTCCTTCCCTTTTGTTGCAGCGTGGCTAGAGGCAGGGAGGGGTTTGAGGAAGCAGTTTGTAACATGTGTACATGTAGCCTCTGTATACAGCTGTATTCACCATACTATGTATGTGTGTATATATATACATACATACACATACACGTACATACATACATACATACATACATACATACATACATACATACATACATACATACATACATACATACATACATACATACATACATACATACATACACACATGTACACGTACATACGCACTACTGCTGTTTGGGCCTTTGGGTGATAGGGATTGTGGGACTTGTTTCGCCTCAAAAGCTAAGCCTTAAACTCTGAACCCCAACCCCTCAACTCGGGAGCCCTGAGCCCTAAACCGCCTTGCGCAGGCCAAGGTCCGAGCTCCTTGTAGAGCCCGCCAGGGAGGCCAGGGCGTCCCTTGGGGATGAGTCGGGTCTCTTGGACCCTAAACCCTAAACCCTAAACCCTAAACCCTAAACCCTAAACCCTAAAACCTAAACCCTAAACCCTAAACCCTAAACCCTAAACCCTAAACCCTAAACCCTAAACCCTAAACCCTAAACCCTAAACCCTAAACCCTAAACCCTAAACACATGATGCAAGGCAACCCAGAAGTTTCGGTTTTTGAAGTCCAGCTCTACGTCCGTCGCAGATGCTGGTCCCGTTCTGGGCCTCCAGTGTTCACCCTTACAGCGTGGGGGACCGTAAGCCCGTTTGTTGGTGCAAGGGCTCTGAAACTCTTTGGAAACCTTCGGAGGCTTGAGTGTTTGGTGAAGTTCACAACGGTGATACCGCAGATCAGGTGCACGTGTGCCGCGGACCTGAACCCAAGTTTTTCGCTTCACATAGCTGGTCGCAGTGAACCAAGCCAAACTCTCGACACCGTTGACGACAGCATCAGAAGCGCAACATTCAAAGCATTCCATAGCTCGCGTGGTGGCCGTGTGTGAAGAGTATTCCGCTCATGAAGCCGTAAGCCTGTAGCCATATGAACCCCCAAGAGATTCTTGGGCCAGGAGCCAGAAGCCGACTTCTTCGGCCTTCTACAGGCTGAGGTGCAAGGGCTGATGGAGGATTGAGGCAGGTTGGTAGGTCTAAGATGGCTTAAGTAGGATGGTAGGCTTTGAAGATTGAGACTTTGGGACTCTTGTGCGCAGGCATGGTTAACTTGCATCTTGAAAGTCTAGATGAAAAAGGTATCGCTCTGATTGCGCGTCATGCCTGTAGGGATCTTCTCGTGCTAGTTCCCGGAGCTCCGACAGTCTCGCCCAACACCTGCAGTCTAAGTGCGGTCCATGGCAGCCCGTGCTCAAAGGCACTTAAATCCTAAGCTTTGAAGCCCTCAAACCCCAAACCCTGAAACCCCTAAAGAACCCGAAAATGCCTACACCCACCCCAAAGCCTCCAAACCCCGAACCCTGAAACCCGAAACTCCAAGCCCCTCAGCACGAGAAACGTCATCGAACCCTAGAACCCTTGCCCCCCGAAACCTGCTATTCAAAAAAGCACCAAATACCTACACACCAACCCAAACCCGGAACCTAAAGCCCTTGCATCCTCAGACGCGCTAACCCTAAACCTCAACCCCCAAAATCCAAACCCCTAAACCCTCAAATCCAAAACAACCCCAAACAACCTATCCCTAAACCCTCAAACCCAACGACCCCCCAAACACCCCCCCAAAAAAAACCCGGAAGCCTCACCCCAAAACCCAAAACCCAAAACCCAAAACCCAAAGCCCAAAGCCCAAAGCCCAAAGCCCAAAGCCCAAAGCCCAAAGCCCAAAACCCTAAAGCCCAAAGCCCTAAACCCTAAACCCTAAACCCTAAACCCTAAACCCCAAACCCTAAACCCTAAACCCTAAACCCTAAACCCAAGAGAGTGCAATGGCCAGGAGCGCCTCCGCAAGGCGAGGTCGCTGGCTTTTGTGGCTTTCGGGGGCTTGTAGGAGTTCAGGATGTAGGGTTTAGGGTTTAGGATCTATAATATGTAGGGTTTAGGGTTTAGGATTTAGGGTTTAGGGTTTAGGGTTTAGGGTTTAGGATCTACAATATGTAGGGTTTAGGATCAAAATGATAGGGTTTAGGGTTTAGGGGCCCTCAACTTTGGGATGTTCCCCCCTTATACCAAGAGTCCTTAACAGGGATCATGATAGGGGGTACGGGGGTATTCGGATCCCTATCAAAGGACTGTGAGTATAAGAGGGAACATCCCAAAGTTGAGGGCCCCTAAACCCTAAACCCTAAACCCTAAACCCTAAACCCTAGACCCTGAACCCTAAACCCTAAACCCTAAACCCCAAACCCTAAACCCCAAACCTTAAACCCTAAACCCTAAACCCTAAACCCTAACCCCTAAACCCTAAACCCCAAACCCTAAACCCCAAACCTTAAACCCTAAACCCTAAACCCTAAACCCTAACCCCTAAACCCTAAACCCTAAACCCTAAACCCTGGGTTGTGCTGCAGGAGAACTCGGAGCTCCTGCTGGAGGTGCATCGCATGAAGGCGCAGCTCATCCAGGCCGCCTTTGGGAGAATGTTTTGGGTGGCTTTTGTCCTATGGGTTCTTAGTTCTCGGGTTTAGGGTTAGGTACCTTATCTCTCCGTACATCTGTTTAAGGGGGGTGGCATCGGGTGCCTCATTCCCTGGTTCCCTAGTAGAGGGCGATTCCGATTCTTTTGTTCTGCTCGTATCAGGGCTGCTCTTCCTCTTCTTCTTGTGATGGTGTGTCTTGTGTTTTCGTTGCATCATCAGCATCATCAGCATCATCAGCATCATCAGCATCATCATCCTCATCATCATCATCATCATCATCACCATCATCATCATCATCATCATCATCATCATCATCGCTGCATTGTTCTTGCGACCCTTGTTGCAACCTCATTATTTGATCTACGCCAAATTCCTTCCCCAAGTGCTTAAACCATCCAAAAACCCCAACGCCCCCAATCCCTCAAGCCAAATTCGCAGGTCCAGGGCTTGGAGGAGAAGGTCGTTCGACTGGAACGCCAGGCACAAAGGTGAGATTTTTGAGAGTTTTCGGGGGTTTAGGGGTCGGGGCTCATGCTCGGGGTTGCGCGGGTTTTGTGGGTTTACGGCAGCGTTTCAGTGCCACGGGCATACTTGTGCTGGAGCCCCGAACGTCCCTAACATGCAGACCCACGGACAGCCTCAAGGGTTCTGAACGCGACCATTCGGGGGCCTCGGAGAGACAGAGCCCCTGAGTCTCACTGGCTTTGGCATCCCATCTTCAGATTCTTCATTGGTCTCAGTCTTTTTGTGTGTTTATTGTCTTAAAATCGGCGAGATGCAGGGCCAAATGCTGGAGCCATGGCGCCTGGCAGAGCCCATCCCGGCTGCGCGTGTGCTGCAGCCCAGGAGCAGAGGACAATCGCAGCCGCAGGCCTGTATGACAACTGGAGTAGTTGCTTAAGACCCCCCCAAAAAAACCAATTCTTCTTTCTTCTAGGCCATGCAGGGGCTATGAGAGAACTTGCCGGAGCTTGCTGTATTCGCTCTTGGCAGTCTGCAGCCCCAAAGCAGCCCGCGCGATCCCGCGCGTGCCGCAGGCGAGGCTGCAGCACTCTCGCCAGCCCATGGCCATCGGCCTTGCTTGTGCTCTTCTCGGAGGCAGGCGCCTTCCTTGGGAGAGGGCCCGCAGACTTCGAAGCAAAGCCTTTGGAGGTCCTTACGCTGCGAAAACAGGGACGAGTTCCAGACTCCGACTCCGGCCAAGACACGTTTTGATGGCCTCCGACGCCTCTGACGGCGAGGGCCAGGCGACAACAAGAACCTTGCCGGGGGTGGTGTGTGTGTGTGTGTGTGTGTGTGTGTGTGTGTGTGTGTGTGTGTGTGTGTGTGTGTGTGTGTGTGTGTGTGTGGGGGGGGGGTGGAAGTCGTTCTCTTTGCTTAGTGTGGTCGATTCTTCACAGCCCCACCAGCTTCAAGCTTCTTCAATCCCCCCTTTTTTTCTCGATAGTTATCCTCAGCTCCCAGCTGTATCTTTTCGGCGGACCGGGTGGAAGCCCGCATGTTGTCATGGTTGCGGCAGGTGCAAATCTCGGATGAGGACATCGAGCTGCTTAGGCAGGTCCTTCCGGAAGTCAAGGAGCTGGTGGTGCTTCAGAAGCCCGGACTGTCAGTGGATCAGGGCAGGTTCTAGAGGTGCGACAGACTCCACGATGCACCAAGACCCAGAATGAAGCCCGCGCGCCGAATCTTCCCCGGACCTTCCCTGGGCCCTCTGAGTGACGTGACGTGACTTCACTCCGCGACCTCACCCCTCCATGTCAAGGAAGGGCAACACTGGCCTCATCATGGAGTTGGCCAAGTCCATGACCTCCATCAAGGCGCGAGACATTCTGATGCTTAAGAAGAGATTGGGCGCTCATGGGCGCACACACACACACACCCGCATACACACCCCGTTATCGTAAGCTCTTGAGCTTCCGTGGTGCGGGCGGCCAGTGCAACACATTCGGGGAGAGGCGAGCGCAGATTGGTGAGATACTGTACTTGTTTGGCCGGGGAGCTAAGAGAAGTGCTAACCCTAAACCCTAAATCCTAAATCCTAAACCCTAAATGCTAAACCCTAAACCCTAGTCCCTAAATCCTAAACCCTAAAACCTAAACCCTAAACCCTAAACCCGAAACCCTGGGTGCATTCGAAGCTCAGGCGGCCAAGGGCGATGTCCTTGCGGTGGAGGGGCAGCCGGACAGCCGCATGCTCGTTATCGCTGAGGCCGGGGGCAAGTCCGGATATAAAATAGGGGTCGAAAATAATTGCTAATAAACTTCCCTTATGGCCCCTTTGTAGTTTAGCTATAGTCACCCCCTCAAAGACCGTATTCTAATCAGAATAGGGTGGCCGGGTTGTAGCGTTTCACTGAGCTTGATATAGGGCGCTCCGGCAGGGCGACGTCAGGTTGGAGCGACCTCAAAAGCCCATGCCACGGGTGGCAGCGAGCCGTGGGAGTCTTGTTAGCCCAGTGGTACCCTTTACTTTTTTTTGTTTTGGTTCTGGTTCGTTCCCTTATAAAATAACCAACTCAAAAAAGGGTGCCCTTATTATAAGATGGTTCCTGGGCTACCAAGGAGTTACTTCGGCGCCGAGTGCTTGCTTGGCAACAGCCCACATCGAAGTTCTGCCGTTGCGGAGAGCGACTGCCGACTCTTGCAGCTGGATCGAACCTGCTTCGATGCCGTTATCATGTCCCAGAAAGCAGACGATGGTTTTGATGATGATGAGGAGGACGACGAGGACGAAGATGAAGACGGGGATGGCGCTTCATGTTTGCCGGGTGACATGGTCGACATCTTCATCCTGTCAGACAGCACCGGCGAGTCAGCCAGTGCATCCGTGCGAACTGCTGCCCAGCAGTTTCAGTATTGCTCCGGGTCCACTTGCGCGGGCAGTCGAACGACGGTTTTCCGGTTCATCAGATCTCAGTCTGAGATCCAGAAGATTGTTGCGGATGCCAGCTCGAAGAAGGCCGTGCTGGTTGAGTCTCAGTTGTCGCGTCCAGCGCGTGCACCACCAGAGCATGAAGAGCGAACTGTGTGAATCTCTCTCTCTCTCTCTTTCTATCTTTTTGTGTACTCTTATATAGTGACCGCCCGTCTCCCCTTGGGTCTAAGGTGTACACGTTCATGGATCCCAAGCTGCATCAAGTGGTCATAGACGAGTGCAAGAACCACCAAGTCGAGGGCAGCTGGGAATGATTCAGCCATAGCCCAGTAGAGAAGCGTACCCGGATTGGCATGATCTGAGCTCCTGAGATCTCTACTTAACCACTGCTGACTGCAGGAATTGACTTGTGGGGTCCGCTTCTGGGCTCTCTGGAGCAGCGATTTGGCGCCAAGCGCAGTGGCATTTTCGGCCGGCACCAAGTCGTCACTGACGAGTACATGACAATTGCCCGGTCCTCAGCATGAATGCGCAAGATATTTGACCAAACCAAGCCAGCAACTGTTCACTGTCCTTCCAGGAAGCTCTTCAGCTCTTGCCTGCAAAGGTCAAGGCTATCGAATACACCCGGAAGGTGGACGATGGGGAAGCTCGGAAGGGGAACGTCTGTGTGTCAGTCCCTTCAAGGTCCCAACAGAGCCCAAACAAAACAGGAAGGTAGGCCAGACACCAGTCATCTCAGGTGCTGCCGAACCTTTGGGACGAATGCGACATCATGCTGATTGGACCATCCCGGGCTGGCAAGACTCCCTTGTCCTTCTACTTGGCGCAGAGAGGGTTCAAGGCCCGTTTTCGAAATCCACACTTCCGAAGCGCAGAGATAGCAATCCAGGTGGCCAACTACCCTTTGATTCCGGATGAAGATCCACCAAAGGACTGCTTCGGTTAGAGCATTTAGCGCGTCCATCTGTGGCTCGCGGCCTTTTGCGACGACTCACGTTGGTGATGGGCGCGCTTTGCAGGAGCTTTTCCAGATCGATCAGATGAAATGTTTTGCCTTGCAGATCAAGCCAGAGCGGCTTCAAGCCATTCGCCACTCGGCGAGCTGCCATGGTGAACTCTTGTCACCTGCTCACCATTGCTTCACCCGAGGTACTCAGCGTATGAAGCAGTTCAACCGAAAGAACACCGAGTATGCGAACTTGCGACTCTGCTGCGCTACTGCCACTCGCCTTAAGCTGTCACCTGCTGGAGCACTGAGGAACAACATCAAGAAGGAAGTGAGCTGGATCAAGAACTTCTATTTGAGCCTTGGACGACATTTGTCAGAGTGAGCCTGCCCAAGACTTAAATCTAGCACCGTGAGCCCCAAACCCTTATGGCAGGCGTCGGGGAGGTGCATCGAAAAAAAGTAGTATGAAGCCTGACGCGAAACCTCAGGCGTCGGGGACCGAAGTGGCCAATCATTGCAGCTCAGCTAGCAACCGGGTGAAGGATTTGGGGTCGAGGGTACTGGCCGCGAACTTAGCTAACTTGCATTTTTAAGGAGAACGGGCACCTGCTTCATGAGACTGGATTGAAAAGTGGGAGTGTTGTGGCCTGAGGACACCAGCAATGCAGGTGTTGCTGAGACTGCATCGCGCATTATGGAAATCATGGACCGCCGGAAGGCGCCCCCACTTTGTGACAGCGGCAAGGTATCGTGCACTAGCCGCATGACCCACATGATGCCTTAGTTTGGTACGCATGACCCCGGCCAGAGAGCAATGAGTAGCAGCAGCGTGCCGCGTCTTGCCAGGGCATGCCTCATGCAGTGCTGTGCCACAAGCCTTGGTGCCAGGGTGACGCTTTGGCTGCTTCATGTGAGTCTGCTCTGACCCTGTGAAGCCCATGCTTGGTTCGTCACGTGCCCGGCAGCGGGGGACGCGGTGCCAAAGTCGCACGCGCACGATCAGCGAACTGGCAAGTCCAGATTGGCCGCCCCAATATACTCGTACCCACATGCTGGCTCAGGTACAGAGAAAGTCGTGCGTTGGTTGTTGGCCGTGCTAGGGTCTCGCAAACACGCTCTTTTATTCAATAGATCCCGTTGATCTTCTCAGGCCTTCTGCAGAAGGGTAGCGCAAGTCTGTGTCGTGCTGGCTGTGGCTACACGACAGCCCCAGGATCCTGGAAATATGCCCCAAACCCTAAACCCTAAACCCTAAACCCTAAACCCTAAACCCTAAACCCTAAACCCTAAACCCTAAACCCTAAACCCTAAACCCTAAACCCTAAACCCTAAACCCTAAACCCTAAACCCTAAACCTAACCCTAAACCCTAAACCCTAAACCCTAAACCCTAAACCCTAAACCCTAAACCCTAAACCCTAAACCCTAAACCCTAAACCCTAAACCCTAAACCCTAAACCCTAAACCCTAAACCCTAAACCCTAAACCCTAAACCCTAAACCTAACCCTAAACCCTAAACCCTAAACCCTAAACCCTAAACCCTAAACCCTAAACCCTAAACCCTAAACCCTAAACCCTAAACCCTAAACCCTAAACCCTAAACCCTAAACCCTAAACCCTAAACCCTAAACCCAACACTAAACCCTCAACCTCAAACCCCGAGGCCCCGAGGCTTTAGCTTCAGGTGCAGTTGCCAGTCGAGGGGTGCTTTGCCTAGGGTAACCTTTGCAGACTAAGGTTGAGAACTTCTCCAGCATTTGAGTTTAGGGTCTCCCGGTGAAGCTGATGATTTAGGTTTCAGGTAGTCGGGTTTCAGGGAGTTTCGGGATCCTTTGATCTTGTGAGGTTCAGTGCGAAGACTTCTGTCTATGGCAAATGTATCGGGCAACGAAATCACGTCGGTGTCCGCACCATGCCCAAAGAATTTGGCCCCGGAGGCTTGGTCTAGCCCCCCACAAAATGATTTCCGTTCAAGATTCGCTGACTTGAGTTGCGAAACATCATATCGTTTTTTTTGTTTTTTCTTTTTTCCTGGCTTCTTCTCGATATCTTCGTTCTCTCCCAACGAATGAAGAATCATGACGGCCTTGCCAGTCCACTGCCCGACGCAATTCTTAGAGCGCCTTTCGCAACTATAGTCCCGTCGCGTTACGCCCCAAAACCCGTCCTCACAGTCCATGACCCGCAAGCTATCATCAGAGACCTGGTTTGGGGGCTTAGGGTTGAGGGGTTGAAGGTTCAGGGTTTAAGCGGTTCAAGAACCTTTCAGTGACCCTTCAACAGAAACAGAAGCTCCCTTCTCCTTGCGCCCAGGCCAGGAAGCTGTCTGGAAGGCGGAGAACGAGCGACTGCAGGCTGACTCTCTGAGATACTGTTGAGGGTTCAGGGTTCAGGGTTTAGGGTTTAGGGTTTAGGGTTTAGGGTTTAGGGCTTAGGGTTTAGGGTTTAGGGTTTAGGGCTTAGGGTTTGCCAGAGTTTCCCGACAGATCTCTGAAGCAATTGCTATAGGGGTCGGAAGAATTACTGACACTAGTCCCTTATGGCCCCTTATAATCATACTACAACAACCCCCCCGACCACCCAAAATCCTATTCTAATTATTGAGGCCCCTATGTTACCCTTATTCTAGTATACTACAATAACCCCCCAAAACCCTACTCTAATGACTGAGGCCCCCCTACATTACACGGGGAGCCTTTCCCAAGAGCCCAGGGTTTTTTTGCTCAGCGCCGGAGGCTGAGAATGACGCCTGCGAGCAGCGGGTCGAGGAGGACCGCAGCAGCTCAGCGTATAATATAGTGTAAGATAATATTACACTAATAGTAGACTATGTTGTACTATACTATATTATATTAGAGTATATCATATGATATCATATCATATTATCTTGGATTAGATTATGTTATATTATGTTCGTCCTGAGGCTTCCGCCGCAGGCCCTCTCCAGATGTAAAAGTCACAGGGGCTCCCTCGTTCCGACAATCCTCCCCAGCCAGCAACATGTAGATACGATGAGCCCAGTGCCTGATTTCCCTGCTGGCTTCTTTCAGAAGACTTGCGAAGATGTCGAGTTTTGCTAAATGGTTCGCTGGCTTTTTTGTTTTTTTGGCCCGAAATCCGGGAGGGAGTGTGCCTCCCCAGTGCTTTTTCGTTTCTTGCTGACGTTACTCTTTGGAACATCATGTGCGAGAGCTTGTGCGTACAATCCCGTGCCCAAGAATCCCATGCGGATGTCGCGACGCTGCTTCTTTGTTGATATGGTGCGCCGATTCCTTGTGAGAAAGCCAGTCGCCTAAACCTCGGACCCTTTACGTTTTTGGAATCCGTCGCAAGAACCATCCTGATCAATCCTGATCATCTAGCAAGCCGTGAATCCTTGCGTCATGATGCGCGAAGCTGCAGTAGAGCAAGGGCTGTTTCCGGATCCCTCAGTTTTTGCAGCAAACAGCAGCAACACACTTTCGAACTGCCTGTGGTTGGACAACCCTGAGCCCAAACCCCCTAAAATTCCGGCGAAGCATTCTGGAGGCGAGGCGCAGGCCCTCCTTGACTTACTGGGTCTCAGTAGGGAAGACGAGGGAAGCTGTGAGTGTATGCACACGCACAAGTTTATACATATGTATGTATACATACATACATACATACATACATACATACATACATACATACATACATACATACATACATACACACAGATGTATATCTCCATCTGTATGTGTGTATATATACATAGATGTATATGTGCGTGAAAAGGTAGTATGACCAAACAAGCCCAACATAAACATCGACCCTAATCCGTGTAGAGCCCTAATCATCGACGCTAATCCGTGCAGAGCCTTAAATCGCCTCCCAAGGGCACATGAAGAGAGCCCCGGCTCAGGAGCGGCTCCGTGCCACTGGCCCGGGCCCTCTACTGGGAGTGGCTGCTTTTGGGTTTAATTAGGGTTTAGGGCATCGGGATAGGGTTGGTCCAACAAAGTCAAGATGCTCGGAGGCTGGAGAGTTGATGCATTGAGCATGTACATGTTCTTCCTCTGGTGGTAGCCTGCTTGCAATATCTGGTGTGTGAGTATATCGCGTAACATGTTGCATTGCGGACGTGTGGTGGCTGCTATCCAGCAGAATTGTCCTGCAATACCATGTTGTACAGGCCAGCATCCATGTGGTACTCCCAACAACAAGGAGTAAACACAAGCACAGTTTGGTTTAGGATGTTCAGAATGATCATCAGCAGGTACAAGCTCCAGCATTCCGAATTTTTCCGCAGCCGATCTACCACTGTCGTTGTTGGGCAGAGGATTGTAGCAAGCTCGCTGCTTCCCTGGTGTTGCATTCGCGGTTCAAGCATGCGCGCTCGTTGCAACTCCCTCGTCCGAAATTGTAAGGTCGTGGTGAATTACTGCGGGCACGTAAACACTGCGCCTCTTCTGACGACCTGGAACACAGGCATAGAAGCCCAGCATTTGCAACTCCAGTTCCCGCGATCATGGCATGCTCAACACTCAAACTCAAACCTGCAGTGCCATGTTCAAGGCCCATTGGGGCCGGGTGGTTCGGCGCAAGCAGTAGTCCAAGCCGCATCACTAACGAAGCCGCTCCATTCTCCCTCTCATAGCTGCTTCATGCTTTGCATTTGCTTCCGCCCATTATGTTTGGGGCATCATCACACTGCCCACGTGCGTTGTGCTTTTTGACGGGTGCGACTCAGCGCATCGTCTGTGCTTGCCCTGGGCTGCTAGAGGGACCAAAAAGGGCTTCGTGTTGCGGTTGCAGGGTTCGCCACTATCGCCCGGGTAAGGTGTCAGCGAGCAGCTGAGCGTGGCGAAAGCCCGCGAGGTCCCGGAGCAGCTGTGGGACAAAGTAGCTATAATTTTTGTGCAATCAATCGTTTGGGTTATTTTGGGTTGTTTCGCAACGTATTCTCCATCATTGGTACCATGGCACCTGGTCATGGGCTTATTGGCAAGGAGAAAATGGAGATTTCAGGTATGTCAACCGGACTCTGAAAGCTGTTCTTCAGTACAACTGTTAGCATCGCTGCTGTGCACCCACACTGCGAGAGTGCTAGTATGTCTGCTGTCGTTCCTGTCGTGTCGTGATAGCCCTGCACATGGGAAGCTAGTGAGCCCGACCCAGAGTTAGATGTGTACGTATATATATATATATATATGTACTCTACGTGTGTTATTCTGTGATATGACACATATGTAAAGTATAGTATCCTTGCCGGGCCAGAGGAAGAGCTTCTCAAGCAAGAGCTTGCAAAGACAAGGGAGCTCAGGCGAGACGCTACTGCTAGGCTTTGTCAGGGCTTAGCGCTTCTGGGCTTAGGTTGATGTGTTGAGTTTCGCGAGTTCAGGGTGTGAGTGGCGGGGCTAAGCCGGCTAAGCGCTTGGAGGCTTTAGGTCTTTTTTGACTGCATGCAATCATGCAGAACTCCTCCATGCATAACGTCTACCAATCCGGAGTCCGCTGCGCTGACTCCTAGGCATCCCAAGCCCCAATCCTCACAATACCAAACGCATGAAGAGCCCCCATGGAGTGCCCCGAGTAGGGTGTAGGAACCTTATACTACTATAATCCCTATTCGGGTATGGACTACTAGAATCCCTCTTAGGGTCTATACTACTAGAATCCCTAGTAGGGTCTATACTACTAGAACAGCCCTTGGTGGGAAGAGTTGACTTGACCGAGGGATCGAGTAGAGCAAGCGAAGATCGACGACGTGAAGTTCCTGGTGCGCCCTGTGCGGGGGGATGTTTAGGATTTAGGGTTTATGGTTTAGTTTAGGGTTTAGGGTTTAGGGTTTAGGGTTTAGGGTTTAGGGTTTAGGGTTTAGGGTTTAGGGTTTAGGGTTTGCGCAGTGAAAGAGGGCCGACATGGCGGGTGATGTGCGCACTTCCGATGTTCCGAGCGTCCTGCAAAGCTTGCGAGCCCCAATGCGGCCGCAGATTCTCCAAGGCACTCACCGCAAAGCTGACAGCGCGGGATGAGGAGTGCGAGGAGGCCGGCAGTGCCAAGCCACACAAGCGCAGGCAAAACCAAAGGCCCCGCAACGCAAGACCTCAAGGCAAGCGCAGGAAACTGCCCATGACCATGCAAGAAGCTGTCATGTCTAGTGTTTTGATGTTTGGGTTTTCGAGCTGTTTAGCTTTTGGGGCATGTGTTTTGCATCTCATCATACTCCGGTGTGGGGTTGTTTGAGTTTAAGTCCACCAGTCTCGCCTGGTCCCTGGAGTGCCCCATCAACCTAACCCTAAACCCTAAACCCTAAACCCTAAACCCTAAACCCTAAACCCTAAACCCTAAACCCTAAACCCTAAACCTAAAACCTAAACCTTAAACCCGAAACCCAAAACCCTAAACCTTAAACCCAAAACCCAAAGCCTTAACACTAAACCCTAAACCCTAAACCCTAAACCCTACACCCTAAACCCTAAACCTTAAACCCTAAACCCTAAACCCTAAACCTTAAACCCTAAACCCTAAACCCTAAACCCTAAACCCTAAACCCGCAGAGAGTCCCGCCCAGCATCTCTGGAGTGCCCCCACCCCCAGAGAAGACCCCGCAGAGAGTCCGAGAAGGGCAGGGTGGGGTCGGTTCGCTGTAAGGATGGTCGAAGAAAATAGAATACATCTATATGTGAATATAAATATATACATATTACAATATATTATATAATATTATATTATATTATGTTATGTTATGTTATGTTATGTTATGTTATGTTATGTTATGTTATGTTATGTTATGTTATGTTATATTATATTATATTATGTTATATTATATTATATTATATATATGTGTGTGTGTGTATGTGTATGCGTATGCGTATGTGTATGTATATGTGTATGTGTCTGTATATGTGTATGGGTAGGTGTATGTGTATGTGTATACGTATGTATGCGTTCATTTTTAGAGAGAGAGAGAGAGAGAGAGTGAGAGAGAGAGAGAGAGAGAGTGTGTGTGTGTGTGTCTCTGTGTGTGTGTGTGTGTGTGTGTGTGTGTCTCTGTGTGTGTGTGTGTGTGCGCGCGTGTGCGCGCGCGCGCGCGCGCATGTGTGCGTGTGCGTGTGTGTGCGTGTGTGCGCGCGCGTTGTTTGGGTATCGGTTATCAAAAGGCGCCGGGGTCCTCCCAAAATAGGGGCTTTTTTGGTGTTCCTATAATAAGTGGAGTATTCAGGGGTGTTGGGGAATGCCTGGGCTGAATCCACCAGTAAAATTGCGATTGCCATGGGCAGAAAAACAAGGTTTCCAGGGCACCTCGTTTCCTGCGGCTTTGCCTGGAAATGCTTGGGTTTTGGGTTTAGGCCCATGTGAAGTGTGTTGGGTGTTGGAGCCTATCTGACCAAAAGTGGGCGGGTTGGAAACCCTAAACTTCCAACTCTAGAACGGTGTTTCATGTTGTAGGCCAAGTTTCAGCTGGAGAAGGCCGAGAAGGCGGCATCCGTATGAAGGAATGGGGTGTCTAGGTTGCAGGCGTTGGGGAGGGTTCGGGTTTCGCGTTTAGGGTTGAGGGATGTTTGGGGTTGAGATTCCGGTGTTGCGGTTTCAAATCTAAAGGTTCAGGCTCCAGGCTTGAGGTTCATACTGGCGATGGTGCGACTTGGTGTAAAGTAGGGTGGGCTGAGAGTGAGTTGTCCAACCACAAAATAAGCCAAGTGCAGCACTCGTCAGGGAGCCAGCGTGCGAAAACCAATCTGCAGCAATCTCAAAGTAAGGAGTGGGCAGAGCCAATCCATCCACAATCGTGAACATCAGCACTCCGGAAGACAACCGCTCTCAGCCACGAGGATTTCGGGTTGAGGGAAAGTTAGGATGTGACAGTGGGTTTAAGGTTTAGGGCTTTTCAGGTGTAGGCCGCAAACGCTTCATGAATGGACCGTTGCGCTCGAGGCGTGGCCTTGTTCCTAGCACCGAACAGGCTGCGAGTTGCTTTCCTGCTTTTGGTTTCCGGGCCCTGGCGACTTAACCGTGCGGGCTCAAACACGCCCAGAACCGAAACCTTGTAGCTCTCGATGGTTTAGGAGTTAGGGTTTAGGGTTTAGGCTTTAGGGTGTGTGGGCGGCGGCCGGGGAAGGTCCGCGTAGAGCTGCTGCGGGTGTTGCAGGAGACTTTGCGCATGCCTCCAGAGGGTCTTGCAGTTCCGGGGGCTCTGGGAGTTTATGGGTCAAGGTTCCAAGGCCTTGTCGTGTTTCTATATGTTTTGTGCGAGAGATGCAACTTCTCACCAACGTCATGGGGTTGATGGGCTTACTTCTAGAGTGTGGGCACCCTTTTCGAGGTCTACCCATGACGATGTGATCTGGTATGGGTGAGTGAATAATGGCCCTAGGTGTTCTCCCTCTTCGCGGCATGTTGTTAGGACCTTCTGACTTGCAGCCCGAGTGTAGCGAAGGGCACAAGCTCGGCCTACAGGGTAGAATTTGAATATGTGCTTCAAGGCTCACATCCTCAGTGGGCCTAAAGCCCTAAGCCTGAAAGCCTGAAATGGAAGCCAGCACTTAGCACCTCTAAAGTAAAAAGCCTCTATGAACCAGTAGGAAACCCTGCCCTTAAATGCCCTAAAGCACAACGCCTTCAAGAAGCAGTGCTGTTTAGGAACCCGCAAAAGAGCTCCCCTCGACATCCCCGCCCCGGCTGCGAGGAGCGCAATGCCGAGCTGGAGAAGCTCCGACAGGAGACGAAGGCGCCTGGTATGATTGTTTTTTTGTTTCTTAACGGTTTTTTTGGGGGTTCGTCAGGGTTTTCTTAGGGTTTTTAGGGTTTGCGCCGTTTATAGGGTCGGAGGGTTTAGAGCATACAAGGAGATCTGAACCAGCTGACTCTAGACCCTAGCCGCTTAAACCCTCCCTCAAATTCTAGGTCCGATGAGTGTGAAGGTTTTTAGGCTTGTGAAAGAAGCTCACCAACTGGGCTGAAGAGGTGGGAAAGCCTGACATTTCGGGCAGAAAGTTCAGAAGAACAGCCTGCGCGGGCACACACACACACAGACGCATCTGCCCGATGCAGGAATGCCACCACACGTGACAGGAACATAAGAACATGCAACACTGAGCATGCTTCCGTGTCAGCAGCGCTTCTAAGGATGTGTGCTCAACATTGGCCCTCACTATTTGCGGGTATCGATTGATGTAGTTGCAGTGCCTGCAAGCAATTGACATGTTCCGTCGGTGACGTCAGAACTGCTCTGAGCCCTCTTTTTCGGTCTTCCGCGCTTTAGGCTCTCGGCTTTGGGACGCCTGAGGTGGTGCCACCACATAGTCTACTTGGAAGCCCCAAGATTGCTGACATCCTCATCTGCTACGGGTCATTCTCAGGGTTCAGGGTTTAGGCTTTAGGGTCTAGGGTCTAGGGTTTAGGGGTAGGAAGGAGATCTTGCTGCCATGGCGAAGAAGGTGGCGCGGCCGGAGCTGCTGGTCATTGGCGCTGGCTGGGGAAGGAGCCGCGGGCGAACCAAGAAGGGTTTGGGGTTCAGGGTTGGGTTTAGGGTTTAGGGTTTAGGGTTTAGGGTTTAGGGTTTAGGGTTTAGGGTTTAGGGTTTAGGGTTTAGGGTTTAGGGTTTAGGGTTTAGGGTTTAGGGTTTATGGTTTAGGGTTTAGGGTTTAGGGTTTAGGGTTTAGGGTTTAGGGTTTAGGGTTTAGGGTTTAGGGTTTAGGGTTTAGGGTTTAGGGTTTAGGGTTTAGGGTTTAGGGCTTAGGGCTTAGGGTTTAGGGTTTAGGGTTTAGGGTGTAGGGTTTAGGGTTTAGGGTTTAGGGTTCAGGGTTTAGGGTTCAGGGTTCAGGGTTCAGGGTTTAGGAGGCGCAAACCCAATACCGCTCATGCCACATGTAAGCCCCGGAACCCAAACCCTCTCTTGCAAAGCTGCAAGATGAACCTATCTTTCTTCAGAATCAGTTCCGCCCCTCTGAAATATCTGCTTCACAACCGTGACATTGGAGTCTTGTGGGGGACTTCCGTATTGAGAATCTCGGGCTTCGGTTTCTTGATGGAGGACGGGAACCAACTCGACGAAGCTCGCGCTTGAGAAGCTGCTGGACGGCCCATGCTACCACATGTTCGAGAACAACAAGAAGAAGGACCCCTCTTTGAGAAACACGCCTCTCATACAGGGAGTCGCTGTTTTGCATTGACTGTGCCTTTCAATGGTCCTTTGCGCACTTGCGCATGCTTGTCTTCGGCGTGTCGTGGCTTCACGTCAGCTGCCAGCCCAAGGCAAGAACGCCACAACCCAATGAAGCCATGAGCCTGCTCCTCTGCAAAGGGCGTGGGGCTCCATTTTTCGGGTTTTCGTTTGTCCTCACAGTCTTTTTATGTTTTTTGTTGGTTTCCAGTTAGGAGCTTGAGTCGCGAAGGCATTCAGTCAGTCAGTCGGCCCGGCAGATTTTTTTCATTACAGCATGTGGCAAGGTGAAGTACTGACACTGGTGCAGAGGGTTCGGGGTCGCATCCCCTCCCACTGCCACCCCCAGCCCCCTCCCCCCCCTTACAACAATTCCAAGCCACATTTTAACTTCAACGACTGTGAACGTTGGCATCATGTCAACCAAGAAAAGGTTTTTTCTTAAACATACTGGAGGGACCCCAAAACGAGAACCCAGCTTAGCGAACTACTCATATCCCCCTCTTTGACCATTACAGCCCTTGGCCTTGGCCAAGACGAAAATGCTTGCTCCCTCCCCCTCCCTCTCCCTCCTCCCTCCCCTTCCCCCTCCCCCTCCCCACGTCCCCTCTCCCTCCCCCCCTTCCTCCCTTCCCCCCCACCCCCCCCAAAAAAAAAGTAGCATCACTCCCCCCCCAGCTATAACACATCCAATCCGAAGCCAAAGCCAAGCCGAATGTGTCAAGACACAGAACGTTCTCATCGTGCCAACCAAAGTCAACCCAAACAAGGCGTGCTTCTGGCTTAGCATGCCCTTTCCGCTCCACAAGCCAGACTGTTGTCTCAAGCGCTGGTGCTGACAGTTGTAAAAAGGAACGGCAAGAGGTTATCCTCATAAGAATAAGTACAGGTTCAGAGGACGTAGAGGTAGATGAGCAAAGAGCAAAAAGTGTTTTTCTGATGAAAAAAGTGATAGAAGTTTTCCTCTTGCTGTGTAAACAAAATAGAGTTGGTTCAATGAGTTCATTGAAATGCAGAGAAAAAAGAGTCTCTCCTACCCCCCCCTCCCCCACAAAAAAGAAGAGTACGAACAACATCCTCGAACCGGCTGCACACGCTCAAGCGTTCGCAAGCCCGAAACTGGCTCGTTGAATCTAGACAGCCCTCAATTCCATAGCCCTCCTGCCCTTGTTTCCGGTGAGGACTACAAGAGGTGGCTGGACGCCTATGCCGGGAAACCCGATTGGGATGCAATCTTTACGCACCCTGACGCTAGGCGCGTGTGTGGCTGGTAGGGTTGACGGGGCCGAGGGTCAAAGTTTCGGGACTCTGCGAAGTGATGGGTTGGCGCCTCTTGCTTTGGGGATTTCAGAGTTACTGGATGGCTGTCTTAATTCCCGAAGCCTCCAAGCCCGAGAGTCGCGCACGTCAATCGGGCCCGCATGGTGGGACTCTTCGCCAAGATGCATGCGTGACGCCTGAAGAATATAGCGAGAGGGAGACGGTTGATAGCAGGATCCTGGCCTGGGCGGGCTTGAGGTCTCAGCCAATGCCTCCAGAAGCCTTGGACACCCCAAGTGCAACAACCCTGAACCCTAAACCCTACTTATACCCTAAAACCTGAACCCTAAGCCCTAAACCCTGAACCCTAAAGCCTAAACCTAACCCCTAGGCCCTAAAACCTAAACCCTAAACACCCAACGACCCAGGATGGGGAGCAGTTTTACAAGGCCACCGTGGACTACCCATCCTGCGGTCTCTACCGTGAGCTCATGGAGGCTTACCCCAATGCGAAGGTGCGTAGGGTTGAGGGTTGAAGATCCAAATGCTCAGGCGAAGCTTGTTACTGTTGTGAGGGGTTGAAGACTGAAATGGTTCAGGGTTCCGCAGTGGATGATGTCCCAAAAGGTGCTCCTGAACGTTCGTGACCCGGAGAAGTGGTACGACAGCGTGATCGACACGATCTGGTCCCCGCAGTGCCCTGAGCAGAACTGGTCTGTGCGCATCTTCCCCGAGGGCCGGGACTTCCAGGCCCAGGCCCGCGCCTTCCATAAGGCCACGATGCTGCCTGGGGTCAAGCGACGCTTGGTGGCCCAGTGTTGTGCCCTTTTGCCCCTTTTTTGGGGGGGGGGGGGTTCTAGGTCCCTGTATGAAGTCCTTTTATGAAGTACCCAACCCCAAAAGGGTAATGTAAGGGGGTCGGAAGGTGCCTTTGTAGTTATACTATAATAACCCCCCCAAAAGCCTCTTCTGAAATTACTCAGGCCCTATATTACCCTTCTTATATCATACTATAATAACCCCCCCCCCCCCAAATTAAAAAACATATTCTAAAATTATTCAGGCCCCCTACATTACCCCTATTATATCATACTATAATAACCCCCCACCCCGACAAAAAAACCTATTCTAAAATTATTCAGCCCCCCCCCCCCCCCCTATGACCCCTTATCATACTATAAGAACCCCCCACCCCAAAGAAAAAAAAAACCTATTCTAAAGTTATTCAGGCCCCCTTATATGACCCTGACTATGATGGTAGGTGCCTGGGCTACCAAGGAACAGACCGCGAGGGCTCCATCAAGTCCTTCAAGGCCTGGGTCGAGAAGGTGAAGGAGACCGTGCCTCCCGAGAAGCTGCTGCCTGGGGGGATTTTTGGGACTTTTCTTTGGGATTTTTCTTTTTAAATAGTATTTTTTGGGAATAATTGTTGGGAATAGTTTTTTAATCTTTGGGTACTCTAATTCCTAAGAAGCAGCTGAAAGTAGAGTTTTTGCTGGGGTTCCAAGATCAGAAGAGGCTGGTCTTCGATGTCAAGGAGGGCTGGGAGCCCTTGTGCCTATATCCCCCTTGGGAATTATTTTTCATTTTTGTTTATGTAAACCCCAAGAGGATATTAAACATATTGTTTTTGTTAAGGTTCCAAGGGGAGTACAGGTGCAAGTTCCTGAACGTGCCCGTGCCGGACGAGCCATTCCCGAACCTCAGCTGTTGGTCAGCAGGGAATGGGGGAATTCGGGGGCCCTATATATACCCTTTAAGGGACGATATAGGGCTCCATGTAAACCCTTCAAGGGATTCTACAGGGTACTTCTTCCCCCCATTCCCTAACCAGCAGTAAGGAATGTCAACGACAAGGAGGAGATTAAGGAGGGCTTCAGAAAGGTCCTGAGGGTCACTTATGCGGCGAACGCCTTCCTCTTCCTCTTCCTCGCCGGTTTTATCTCGATGATCGTCGTGTCCGTGCGCCGAGCCATGTGATGGGAGGCTTTGTAGTGGCCCAGTCCTGTCCAGACACACTTAGAGCCGAGGATGCGTGACTCAAATGGCGGCCTTCACCTCTGAAGATTTAGATGCTTACTGTCTGTCCCGACTTCAAAGCCATCTTAAGAAAGTAGCGGAAACCTGACCAGGAGCTGCGCGAGTACGAGAGGCGGGCTGGGGGGGTCTCCGGGCTGTGTGGCTTATGCTTTTCTCGCCTCCCCCGAGCCCTGCAGCCCCAGACGCGCAGCATTCGGAAATGAAGATGCCGCTAACGATCTTGTTTCGCTCCACCAATCATTCCAGTCATTGGGTAGTGGATGGCTTCCGCATGTTAGTGACTGCTATCTTGTGGTGGCACAGAATGGCCTCGAAGGCTGTAGTTGCCTGTGGGGTTTAGGGTTTAGGGTTTAGGGTTCAGGGTTTAGGGTTTAGTTTTGTACCGCAGCATGATGCAGTGTGCGCAGAGGCTCTGAAGGTCGACATACTCAATCCAAAGTATCAGCCGGGTCTCTGCCCCCCTGCAATTCAAACTGCCGTGGAGAGACTGGCGGCGACGGCACGAAGCTAGCTGTTGGCTTCAAGTTGCTTTGAGGCTCAGGCCCTTCTGGAAGGCAGACGCGTCCGGAGCGGTCCGTGTCAACACTCTGGAGTTGCACCCTGCCTTCCCTCTTTTTCCATTCCCGCCCTAGACCCAGAATTTCTTGAACCTCAGAACTGTTCAAGAGCCCATTTCCTTAAGAACCCCAACATAAAAACTCCTATATTACCCTTATAAGAAAGTTTTTGTTCTTAACCAGACCTCCTTAGGTTTCTTGCTGCTATGGCCTTGTGCGCTCGGTAGCTGCTCGCGTTGGCGCCTTCTCGAGAGAAGGGCTTCTCACAGCTCGGGCAAGGTTTGCATATGTTGAGTGAAGGTTCGTGGGGTGGTCCATCTTACATTCTGGGAAGAACCTGGCACTCATGACTGGCAGCCAGTATGGAAACTGCATGCCCCCTTCGACTCCCCTTCGTCTGACCGGAGGATACGACCCTTGAAGGCTGACCCGAAAACAACACGGCTTCCTTACCGGTAGCAGAGTTGAAAGGGGCAGGGCTGACTCGTAAACCACACTCTGCAGGTCCAGAACGAGCCAGGCCAGGCTCTTAAAATTTTGGCCGGGGAGTTGCGCTTCTTTAGAGGTTTTGCGGGGGGGGGGGGGGGGGTGGGGGAGTAAGAGGGTTTAGGGTTTAGGGCTTTAGGGGTTGAGGGTAAGGTCAGTTTCGGGCTTGGGGCTTCAGAGTGTAGGGTTTCCTTCGCCCGCGTGCTTGTGGAAAAGCACCCTGAGCTGGGACTGGGACCTCAATGGGATGAACACTCTGGGGTAGATACGGGCAGTTCTCTTGGTCTCTTTTTTTGGGTCCCCTAAATAGTACGGCTAAACAGAACCCCTAAAAGGGACCAGAAATTCGAGAGGGGCCCTCTTAGTCTTTCAGTCCCCCGAAGCCCCAGGATTGCCCTAAACCCTAAACTCTAAACCCTAAACCCTAAACCCTAAACCCTAAACCCTAGACCCTAAAAAACCCTAGACCCTAGACCCTAAACCCTAAAGCCCGGTAAGGTTTCGGGCTTAGGATTCGGCTTAGGGCTTTGCGAAGGCAGCCCCAGGGCTCGAACTGGGACCAACCCAACGAGCGATTGGCCTCGGGGAGTGCTGCAGGGATGCTTCCGCTTAGGGTTTAGGGTTTAGGGTTTAGGGTTTCGGGTTTCGGGTTTAGGGTTTGGGGTTTAGGGTTTAGGGTTTAGGGTGTAGGGTATAGTATAGACCCTAAACCCGAAGCCCAAGCCACTCTGTGCATAATGTAAGCCCTAAACCCTAAACCTGAATATGAGCTACGATGATGCTCTTAATATAGGGGCTGGCCATCATGTTGTAATACTATACTACGACGACATCGGGGTATCATAGGATGATACTCTTTAGGCTCTCCTACTAATTTGCTTAAGAAGCCCCCAAAGAATAAGAATGGAAATCCCTATATTGCCCCTTCTAAGGAAGGATATTTCTGTTTTTGGGGGGTTCTTAAGCAATCTGTAGTCTCTGGTGGGGGTTTAGGGTTTAGGGTTTAGGGTTTTAGGGTTTAGGGAGGGACGTCCCTATGTTTGGGTGAGAAGAACAGGTCCTGGAGCTGACCAAGTCCGTCGCTGTCCTCGAGGACCCCCGAATTCTTGGTTTTGGGCTTTAGGAAAGGGTTTAGGGTTTAGGGTTGAGTTTAGGGTTTAGGGTTTGGGGTTTAGGGTTTAGGGTTTGGGGTTTAGGGTTTAGGGTTTAGGGTTTGGGGTTTAGGGTTTAGGGTTTAGGGTTCAGGGTTTAGGGTTTAGGGTTCAGGGTTTAGGGTTTAGGGTTTAGGGTTGAGGGTTCAGGGTTTATGGTTTAGGGTTTAGGGTTTAGTTTAGGGTTGAGGGTTCAGGGTTTAGTTTAGCGTTGAGGGTTTAGGGTTTCGGGTGTCGGGATTCGGTTTGTAGCATAGTGGTGCATGGGCGTTGCTGGGGGAGCCGCTGTTGCTGTTGGGCATGGGAGACAGAAAGCGGTCGGCTGTGTTGCGTAGTGGCTTTTTAGTTGCGTGAACACCCAAAAGCCCATTTTCGACCATTCCTGAATACTGGGAATTTGGAAGATGCATCTGCGGGCGTTTCCCAAAACAGTGGTACCCGTGGGCATCAGGGAAACGGGCTTGCTCCGCAGACAGTACTGATTGTGAGGAGCGCGTGGCGGTTCTGAAAAAGGAGCTGCAGGACCAGGAGCCTGGAAGCGTGCCATTGGGCAATGAAGCCCTAAACCCTAAACCCTAAACCCTACATTGGACATTGATTTCCACAGCCCAGATTCTGAGGCGGTGCCCTGCAATTCCGTTGGATGGCCCCCATCCTGCTACTCCTAGGATTCCATTGCTCCGGGCAGAGGGGTTCACTTGCCTCTACCCACTGTAAAGCACCCCCCCAAGACTGCAAGCCCAGTGTAAAGCACCCCCCCAAGACTCCAAGCATAGGTGGGAGTTAAAACCGTACAAGAAAGATTATTTTGGTGGTGGGGGTGGGAGGGTTTTTTTTTTTGGGTGGGTGGGGGGTGGGGGGGGGGGTGGGGCGGTGGCGGGGGGGTGGGGGGCGGTAGGGCACCACTTGCCATGGAAGAGGCTTCCCCGGCGCTCGACCCAACAGCGGGGTCGGCGGATATACTATCATTGCGGCAACTGCTATTCTAATGCAGTATTGCAATTGCTTTTTATATTGCAATAATTCAGCTTACCAGGTCCACGTCAGCATGATGCATGGCAAAAAAATCTCCAAGACCCTGCAAAAACTACAGCCACCCCAAGCCCTAAGCCCTAAGCCCCAAACCCTATACGGCCCTATACCATCCGAAGCCGAAAGCTGACCTTGCGCTGAGCAGAAGAGGAGTCTTCCACGAAGCAGGCGCAGGAGGATGCAGAGGCTGACTGGCGGAGCTTCTGGCCTTTTTTTAGGGCTCACAGCGGTGTAGGGCGCAAGGATATGTGGACATTGGCGTATTTGGGGCGCAAGGCTTGGGAATGAAGTGGAGTTTCCCCAAAGCGGCACTGATCGGCAGAAGCCAACCAACATGAAAGTTCATTTTTAGCAGGGTGCCTTGCGAAGTTCGCAGGATGAAGGGTCAGTGAGATGGCCCTGTCCTGCTCGACATTGCTTTTCTCGTTGCTGTGCTTCTATGCATGCTGTACCTCTCTTTTGACATTGTTATCGTATTTATGTTGATGCCTGTGAACGTACGGCATCTCTCTGGGAGAGCACGGCACGCATTGACGACTGAGGCTGTACGCCATGTTGAACGAAGCATGATTATGCATTTCATCCTTGGTTGCAGCTTGGCATGAGGTCGTCTTGTGCGAGAATACTGCCCGGCATGTTAGGCTTCGAACTGACATGCTCGTTTTCTGACTTGGGCTCAGCACCCCGATTGTCGCGCAGGACAAGCGGCAAGCTCTCGTCAAGTCACAGGAAGAGGTCCACCGTGCTTGACGATGCCTCCCAGGCATATACGCATACACAGACACCGAAAGATGCATCAGTCCGTTGCAGCACTTTGCTCACCGCAACATCGGCTCAAGCTTCGCACCTGGAAATTCTAGTGGTCAGCACACTGGCTGCCCTCTCCGGAACCTTATGGCCAAGCGGAGACTTGAGGAGGTCGAGGAAGAGGAGGAGGGGGAGGCTGGGATGTGCATACTCATGAAGGGCATCTAAGGGCCTCCATTTTAATGAAGTTTCTTTACTTGGGTTTAGGGTTTTGCTTGGGATCGCGCACCTGCAAGGCCGCTGAGAACGAGGATGAGAGGCCAGGCCCAAGATCGGGTCCGTAGGAAGGGGATGAGCTCTCACCTGTAGGGTTTGGGGCTTCGGTTGGCTCAGAGAACTCTTGCAGCGCAGCCAGCAGATGGATTGGTATTAACCAGCCAATTGAATGCAAGCCAGTTGAACGCCGTGGGTGGAGAATGCGGTCAGTTTTTTGCCCTAGCGGGAATTAAGGAGTGGGCTTAAATTGTTAGAGGCTCAAGGTGACAGCAGTCAGGGAGCACCGAAACCCGAAACCCTAAACCCTAAATCCTAAACCCTAAACCCTAAACCCTAAACCCTAAACCCTAAACCCTGAACCCATTCTGGGGCTTCGGGCCCCCGCGAGAAAAACCCTCAGCCCACCGCCTGCTAGGTTCTGGGGCTTCGTCTCCAGCGTCAAAGATGACAAGATGTGGGTGTTGCCCTTGGCACCCTAAACCCTAAACCCTAAACCCTAAACCCTAAACCCTAAACCCTAAACCCTAAACCCTAAACCCTAAACCCTAAACCCTAAACCCTAAACCCTAAACCCTAAACCCTAAAACCTAAAACCTTAAACCCTAAACCCTAAACCCTAAACCCTAAACCCTAAACCCTAAACCCTAAACCCTAAACCCTAAACCCTAAACCCTCAACCCTCAACCCTCAA